GTATTATTAAAAGAATGATGTATGTTTATATATTTTTATGTAATTTTCTAGGTATAATTATGATGCAAGGAAAGCCTATACGGATTCTGTTTGATACAGGAGCTTCACACTCTTTTATTTCAGAAGAATTTGTTAAAACTGTTGGATTGAATGTTTGTGAGACCAATATAATTTTGAAAGTTTTAATGCCATATGGATCATTTATAAATGGGAAAGGTGTATGTAAAGTGACTTTCAAAATAAATGAAAGAGAGTTTGAAGCCTCAACGAATATTTTACCATTGCAAGAGTTTGATATGATATTAGGAATTGATTGGTTATCAAAGAATTTTGTGGTTGTTGACTGCAACAAGAAAATTGTGAAGTTTAAATTCCCAGAAGGAGAATTGAAGTTTTATGGTGAGAAAGGAATTTCTTCAATGATAATCACTTATATAAAAGCATACAAATTTGTATCCAAAGGATGTCAGTGTTTTTTTGCTCAAGTAAAAGATACAAATAAGGAAGTTAAAGAGTTGAAAGATATACCTATAATCAGAGAATATCCAAAGGTGTTTTTAAATGATTTACTAGGATTACCACTAGAAAGAGAGATAGATTTCACTATTGAATTGATATCGGGTTCAGAATCAATGGCTAGGGCACCTTACAGAATGACAGTCAAAGAGTTACAGGAGCTGAAAGGTCAGTTACAGGAATTACTCGATAAGGGGTTCATCAGGCCAAGTTCCTTACAATGGGGAGTTCCAGTACTGTTTGTAAAGAAGAAAGATGGGAGCTTCAGAATGTGCATATATTACAGAGAACTGAATAAGCTTATTGTTAAGAATAAATATCCATTATCCAGGATTGATGATATTTTTGACCAACTGGAAGGGGCTACAGTTTTCTCTAAAATTTATTTGAGATATGGATATCATCAGCTATGGATTAAGGAGGAAGATATAGCAAAGACAGCTTTCAGAACCAGATATGACCACTACGAGTTTATAGTAATGCTATTTGGAGTGACAAATGCACCTGTTATATTTATGGATTTGATGAACAGAGTTTTTAAACCATTTTTGGACATATTTGTAATTATATTTATTGATGACATTCTGATTTATTCAAGAGATGAAGAAAGCCATTCCAGTCATCTGCAGCAAGTATTGCAAACATTAAAGGAGAATAAGTTGTATGCCAAATTTTCAAAGTGTGAATTTTGACTGATCAATGTTAATTTTATGGGGCATGTGATTAGTGGTGAAGGAATTTCAGTTGATCAGAATAAAATTCAAGCCATATCAGATTAGCCAAGACCAATGATAGTTTCAGAGGTGAGAAGTTTTCTAGAACTTGCTGGTTACTACAGGAGATTTGTACAGAGTTTTCTCAGATAGCAATGCCATTTTTCAGATTAACCCAAAAAGCAGTAAAATTTGAATGGAGTGATCAATGTGAAGGAGCTTTTTCAAAAATTAAAGAATTGTTTAATGACTGCCCCAATTTTGACAATTCCATCAGGTTCAGAAGGGT